GTTTCTATATTTTTCCTATTTAAAACTTGACTCTTCTGTAGTTACATCGTGTACTAAGACCGACGGAAAATGAAAAGTTGCGATTTTCTAGCCCGACGTGGCTAGGAACTATACTCTCATTCCAGCGTAATAATCAAGGAACTTTGCTGCCGTACCATGGGTGCAGCAGGTGCAATATTTTCAACTTTTCATTTTCCGTCGATCTTAGTACACGATGTAACTACAGAAGAGTCAAGTTTTAAATAGGAAAAATATAGAAACTCTTTGGTTATTTTTGAGCGAGATGCTAACGGTCTAATCAGATTCAATGATCTATGCTAAGCTACAGCTAAAAGTGCTACCGCCAGACCCGGAGATCGGCTGAATGGATTCGAAAACGGTAAAACTCAAATATTTAACTCTAGGGGAGTTGGAAAATGAGCCTATTTTCAAAAATAGTGGAGTGTTCCTTTAAGGCAGTAAGATGTTTTTTTTTTAATGTTTTTGAAAGAAGCTACTTATGCTCTCCAATACTGCTTTATTTGATCAAACGTACAGTAAAAACAGTAATATTGTGAATTGTTATTGCAATTTAAAATGTAGTTTTTAAATCTAATAAAGTTATTCCTGTGTTGGCAAAGCTGAATGACCTTTTTTCTTCTTCAGTGTCACATGATCATTTAGAAATCATTCTAATATGCTGATTTGCTGCTCAAGAAACATTATTATTTCAGGATTTTTATTTTTGATGAATAGAAAGTTCAAAAGAACAGCATATTTGAAACAGAAATATTTAGTAAAATTATAATGTACAATCCTTGCTAAATAAAAGTATTAATTTCTTTCCCAAAAAAGTCTTCCTTACACCAAACCTCTGAATAATAGTATATAAAAAGGTCATATTCTTAATTTTTATTTATTTATTTTACATCATTTTAAAATGTTTAAAATATATTTATTTAAATCAGGGTTGTTATTATAGTTACACTATACGTGAAACATTATTTGAAATGAAAGATATAAAAATAAAATATAAAAACTTGCAACATTTCTCATTTAGTATTTTCTATTTCTTCTACTATTTTCTTCTCATTTATATTTAGTTTAACTTGAAGTACTAAAATAACTAAAACCACAAACTAAAGCTAATAAATTAATTCAAATTAAGCTATTATAGACATAAAAAAACGAATGAAAATGGCAAAAACATTCAATTACGAAAACGTTCATTAAAAGAGAAAACAGAAAATATAACAAAATCTATTTTAAAATATTGACAAAAAACTGTAGCAGTATATCAATAATGCAAAATAACAGATTTGTTTTAATAGATTTATTTATGTAGTTAACATATATGCATTATTTATTTGTATTCATTTTAATGTAACTTTAAGACTTCTATGTGTAAATAACCTCTATGTACTAATAAGGTTAACTTAAAAGATAAAGTAGGTAAGATGTTGCTTAACAGTAATTGTGTTAATGTGCTCATAACCATGATCATTTCTGAATGAGACATTTTTGCTATACTTACAATTCATCGCACTTATATTTCAAAAGAGCAAAACGGTTCTTGTGTTGATATGGCTCATTAAAATGATTTGTCATTATTGTACATTATTACTATAGATTTAAGCTTCGTGAGTTAATGCACTGTGTGTGTGTTTGCAGGTCGAAGGTCGTTCGTCTGTGATGGAGACGTTTAAGCAGCTCCTGGCTGAAGAGGGCATGTGGGGTCTCACCAAGGGTCTGTCTGCACGCATCATTTCCTCCATGCCCACGTCGGTCATGATCGTCATCGGTTACGAGACACTAAAGAGACTCAGTCTGCGGCCTGAACTGGTGGACAGCAGACACTGGTGAAAACGCACATACCTCAACATTTTATTATTTTCACGTTTTATAAGGACCAGGCAATAATTGGCGCTCAAATGTGAACTTCTATTTCCTCTCTCCCTTTTTTGTGGATTTTGTATATTTTGTAACCTGTGAACTCAGTGGAGTGCGTCCGACCCAAACTAGTATTTTGTAATGAGACGTCATGGAACACTCGCCTGGAATATGAGATTTTGAAGTGAAAATAATTTTGAAATGGTGACTTTGACACTTTCTTGTGAATCTCGTGCAGTGCTCTTCACTTCATCTGACAGGAAGTGAGATCATCACATCAGTTACATGGTAGGAAGAATGAGAACATGTATGGCTTTTCACACTTAAAACCCTGGGTCGTTTTTAACCCTAGCAAATAGTCAGTTTTGTCTTATGTATTAATATTATGTCTTTATGTCATAATATTAATATTGTCTTATTTAGTTATTAATATTGATTGGATAAGTGCTCTCAGTCTTCTGAAACACAAATATTGTCTAATTTAATATTCCAGTTTGATATTTTTAAACACGTTTATGACTTTTCATGTGCATATTAAACCTCATGTCTCTGTGCTCATGCATATTTAATGAGGCCAGAATTGACTAAACATGTGACTAGCATTTCCATGGTCATGAAAATCTGGAAATATCAGTGCATATTAAAGGCAATTAATTTAGAAATTCAGACTTGGAAAACTTATAAAAATGTTTATGGTGAATACAAATTTACTAATTATATATTAAGCTCAGGTCTTAAATATTTAAATAGTCTCTTCAAATTAGGAAATTATCGTTAAAAGCTTCATCCATTGATCAAAAACAACTGTAAAAACGTGTAAATTCATTTTAAAAGTGGCCTTTAACCAGGGTTAAACGTTATGTGAAAAGCCTTGTGAGAAAAGTTCGAAAGAATCATGTTGTCTTGAATGATATTTCAGTTTGATTGAATCTTCTTTGGATTGTCATATTTTGTGTTTGTATCATGCCTTGTCTTTAACCGTCAGCAAACAGCGTTTTGGGGCCAAAGCTTTTACAGTTCAAATGTTTTATAAATGTGCTTCATATTTTAAAAATAACTGCCGTAGTTGTTTTTGTACGGTGGCCGAGACGTGCAAAACAAATCACAATTATGAAAACAAAATAACAAATTACAAACGCAAATCTAAAAAACAAAACAATTCACAAAACACAACAACAATTCCGAAAACATTATAACAAGTCAGAAAACACAACGACAAATCAGACAAACCCGACCCTTTTCACAAGACTGTGTCTATGGAGTGACGGTAAATTTGACACAGCTCTGTCTTCTGGCCATTATCAGTATCTCTTTATTTTTTCTCTTCTTATAAGTCATGAAAACACTATCGTGGGTTTTTCTTTTGCTACTTGACAAATGGGAATGCAAAAAAAAAAAAAACAGGCAGATGTGTGTTAAAAATTTATTCTTTTTTTGTGGGGCGGAATGAATTTAAAGGTGAGATTATAAATACAAAATATTAAGAGTTGAACAGTCTTTTTATTATGACAATTAAACGAATTTATTTATATCCAACAGCATTAAGAAAAGTAGAAAATGGCCGTATTGAACATGCAAATTGATTCTCTGCCAGTAGGAGGCGCTTTTGGAATGGTTTCCCTCGTAACAGCTGTACACAAAAGCTGCGCGGCTCTCATAAAGACTACTTTATTAGGCAGTATTCAGGCATTATAATTTAGGTGAGATGAAAATGACATCGAACGTTTGAGAAATGCCCCATTTTTGGTACGCAGAGACCTGTTCTTGGTTTTTTCATTGTGTTTTCTGACTTAATTTGTTTTCGGATTTGTCATTGTTTTTCTGAATTATTTTGTTTTGGAGATTTGCATTTGCGTTTGTAATTGATTTTGTTTTCAGATTTGTCATTGTGTTTTCTGACTTATGGTTTCAGAATTGTTGTGTTTTCTGAATTATTTTGTTTTGTAGATTTGCATTTGTAATTTATTTTGTTTTCAGATTTGTCATTGTGTTTTCTGACTTATGTTTTCAGAATTGTTGTGTTTTCTGAATTATTTTGTTTTGTAGATTTGCATGTGTAATTTATTTTGTTTTCAGATTTGTCGTTGTGTTTTCTGACTTATTTTGTTTTGTAGATTTGCATTTGTAATTTATTTTGTTTTCAGAATTGTGATTTGTATTGCACTTCTCGGCCACCGTATTTTCGTCTAAAAGATTGTTTCTAACGGGAACTGTATGTCACATTGGAGAGTGAATTAAATGAACCACAAGAAAACTAAACGGTTTGTGATTTTTTTTTGCTAGTGCTGCTTGCGTGCTCTCCAAAGGGTTCAACATTCAAACAAGTTCTGCTTTGGATCTTTATGTATCATAATTCATTTTTTACACGTTTGCTATAATACAGACCAAACCAAGGACTCTGAATTGGCACAGTAACATTTAGTGTCCTGTAGAGGGCAGATAGCGCTCAGTTTTGTGAAAAAGCTGGAAAGATCAGGGAATTTAACGTTTTTTAAGTAATGAAACTCCATAATGAATATAAATTTCATAATAAAATACGTATCCTACTAAAAATGTCATGCAACATCATTGATCAAAATGAATGTGTGAATTCTGAACAAGATAAACAGCAACAACTAAAAAAAAGACATTTATTTGTATCGCCATACACAGATGTTGAAGTTGCCAATTAAATAAAAAAAATAATTTGCATGTATGCTGTGGTCTTGAGAGGCTCAGGAGGCTGTAGTTTCGTGGCGATTCACATGGGACAGTCGTAAACATGGATGGCTCTGTCATCACCCGCAGACACGATTTTAGAGCCTGTGGGGTTGTACTTCACACTCCAAACCTGCAAATACACACACATTTGAACAATGTGTTCAAAGGACCCTTGCTGGATCCTCTTCAGTTTGCCTACAGAGCAAACGGGTCTGTGGATGATGCAGTCAACATGGGACTGCATTACATCCTGCAACACCTCGACAGACCTGGGAATTACGCAAGGATCCTATTTGTGGACTTCAGTTCGGCCTTCAATACCATCATGCCTGACCTTCTCTCAGACAAACTCACCCAGCTCTCCGTGCCCACCTCCATCTGTCAGTGGATCACCAGCTTCCTGACAGACAGGCAGCAGCTAGTGAGGCTGGGCAAACTCACATCCAGGACTATCACCATCAGCAGTGGCGCCCCCCAGGGTTGCGTCCTCTCCTCACTGCTCTTCTCTCTCTACACGAACGACTGCACCTCTAAAGACCCCTCTGTCAAGCTCCTGAAGTTCGCAGATGACACTACAGTCATCGGCCTCATCAAGGACGGAGACGAGTCTGCTTACAGACAGGAGGTTAAAGAGCTGGCTGTCTGGTGCAGTCTTAACAACCTGGAGCTTAACACGCTCAAAACTGTGGAGATGATCGTGGACTTCAGGAGAAAACCCCCTGCACTCTCCCCACTCACCATCATGGACAGCACTGTGGCTGCAGTGGAGTCATTCAGGTTCCTGGGCACCACTATCTCTCAGGACCTGAAGTGGGACACTCACATAGACTATATGTGACCACCAAAACAGCCAGGCACAAGAACAGTTTTTTCCCACAGGCTATATTCAGCCTGAACAATTAATCTTTCATAATTATACATCGTCCATTTATATTAAACTGCACACTTTGTAAATAACATAGTGTAAACATACTTGGTAATAAAGCTCTTCTGATTCTGATAAGCATGCCCTAAAAAATACAGCAAAAACTGCAAAATTGTGAAATATTATTACGATTCAAAATCACTTTTTCTATTGTAATATATTTTAAAATGTAATTTATTCTTGTGATGCAAAGCTGAATTTCCAGCAACATTACTCCAGTCTTCAGTGTCGCATTCTAATATTCGCTTCTCAAGTAACATCAACATCATCAATGTTGAAAACAGTTGTGCTGCTTTATATTTTTGTGGAAACATCTCTCACCTGGTCCTGATGATCAAAGAATGTGTTCACACATGACCTGCTGCTTGTGTCCCACACTTTTACACTCTTATCAGACGAACTAAAACAGAAACAAGTAACAGTTAAGAACACACAAACGACATTTTACATTTTCTATTCATCTGAAGCGCATCAACTCTTGCCTGGACACGAAGTGTGTGTCGTCAGGTGAAAAGGCCACGCTCAGCACCCAGGATCCGTGACCGCTGAGAGTGCCGGCCAGGTTAGCGTGCTGTCTGTGAGACACACACAAACAACCAGACCGTGAGATTCAAATCAAATATGTTGGAAGGTGAAAGATGCACACAAATTTGCAACGTACACGTCATAAATCTTGAAAAGAATGTGTTCACACACGATCTGCTGCTCGTGTCCCACACTTTTACACTCTTATCAGACGAACTAAAAAGAAACAAACAACAGTTAAGAACACAAACTACATTTTACATTTCCATTCATCTGAAGTGCATCAACTCTTGCCTGGACACAAAGTGCGTGTCGTCAGGTGAAAAGGCCACATTTAGCACCCAGGATGCATGACCGCTGAGAGTGCCGGCCAGGTTAGCCTGCTGCCTGTGAGACACACACACACACACACACACACACACACACACACACACACACAATCAGACCGTGAGATTCAAATGTGTTAGGAGGCAAAAGATGCACGCAAGTTTGCAACTTACACGTCATAAATCTTGATGTAGCCATCGTCTGATGCGGTTACCAGCAGCTGAGAGTCTGGAGAGAAAGTCAGAGACCTGATAGGCATCGCATGCCCTGAAAAGAAAAAAAAAAAGAAGCATGCCTTACATTAATCCCACAATTTGGCTACTGTACCTTTAAGATGTCTGTATGTAAATAGTGTAGCATAAACAGCAATAAAGCAGTACATTGTACATTACTGGTCAAAAGTTTGGAAAGAAAATCTCTTATGCTTATCAAGGCTGCATTTATATGATCAAAGATACAGTGAAACTGAAAAATATTACAATTTAAAATAGCTGTTTTCTATTGTAATATATTTTAAAATGTAATTCGCAAAGCTGAGTTTTCAGCATCCTTACTCCAGTTTTCAGTGTCACATGATCCTTCAGAAATCATTATCATATGCTGGTTTGCTGCTTTCAGAAATAACATTTCTGAATCAGATTTTTTTTTTTTGGTGAAAGCTGTGATACACATACCATTCAAAATTTTGGGGTGAGTAAAATAAAAAAAAAATATTTTATTTAGCAAGGACAAGTGAAATTGATCAAAAGTGACAGTAAAGACTTAAAATGTTACAAAAAGATTTATATTTCAAATAAATGCTATTATTTTGAACTTTCTATTCATCAAAGAATCCTGAAAAATTTATTTTTTGCCATCACAAGAATAAATTACATTTTAAAATATATTGAAATCAAGTAAAATAAAGTGTAATAATATTTTAAACTATTAAAAAAAAATAAAAATCATAATTATTCCAAACTTTTGACCGCCAGTGCAATACAATAAAAACTGAACTACATCTAACATTCAACATTATTTCCAGCTGTACTTGCTGGAGCAAATGAAAGGGATAAGTGAGTGATGGAGGGACGCAAGAAGACAACGAGGAAAAATGGAGTCACTCGGTGACAGGAGCCGAGGTTTACGACCCTTGAGGGGCGGCCAGAGACACAAACAGGTTTTTCCACCGCATTCACGTTACCCATAATCACCCTAAATGCATCTAGCAGACTAACGTCTACAGAGCATTTTAATAGAGGAAACTAAAGACGGCTTGAATCATGTGGGAGATGATTTTCACCTTCCAGCGTGTGCAGGAGTTTCCCAGTCGCAATATCAAAGATATTAATGATTCCGTCTATAGCACCGCTGGCTAAGTACTTTCCATCTGGACTCTAGAGAGAGAGAGAGAGAGAGAGAGAGAGAGAGAGACAATTATTAGGGCCTGGAAAACTTTATATTGTATGGAAAATCAGCGTTAGACTGTCATTTGTGAAATCAGTTCCTTTTTAAACACTGAAGCTGACTGTTACTTATTTACATGCTACCCACTATTTTTAACCAATACATATTTATGATTTTTTTTTTTCAATACTTCATATGTGGTTTGATTAC